CCTATAGGCTATTGTACTGTGGTACAGTTATGGAGGCCCTTCATAATGCAGAGGTCAGCTGCCTGCTCTGCCAATCGTTAGCAATGGCCCTATGGTATGCAGTGTTTAATAAACAGCTGTTTTACTAAATTCTTCTGAGGTGAAATTCAGTGCAGTCCGTATCGTGATATGTATCGTATCGTGACTTTGCTGGTGATACACAGCCCTAATGAGCACTGCACGTTTCAAAATAAAAACACGTCGTGGGTGTTTTATATGAATTTATCTCTGAAGGGAACCGACTGTCTTCAGAAAAGTTTTAATGGCATTTTTATTTTATCTGATAAGGAAGCGTTCATAAGCAGAGCTGATGATTACAGGCATTACTGGAGAAACTGCTAGTTCTACCACTCTCAAAGCGCCTCCTGCTGGCAGACAATCAGATTGCATTTTCAATAAGCCCGTTTCCAGCAACATGCTTTTGTTGTTGCTCAATTTTTTTGTTTTCAGAAGCAACTCTGAGCACGTTTCATACTCTTCATCCTGGTTGAAGCACGTTTCAAACTATAAGAATAATCAGCCTACACTAGCGCTGGGCGGTATACCGGTTCATACCGAATACCGGTGTTTATTTTTGTTATGACATGAATTTTTAAAATACCGCAATACCGCAGTATGTCGCTTAAACAACGTTCAGAACATCCTTCAGAAATCATTCTAATATGCTGATTTGCTGCTCAAGAAATATTTCTTATCATTATCAATGTTGATAACAGTTACGTTGTTTAATATTTTTGTGGAATCCAGAATTCTTTGATTCTTGCAAATAGCTGTACTAGTGCTGGGCGGTATACCGGTTCATACCGAATACCGGTGTTTATTTTTGTTATGATATGCATTTTTTAAATACCACAATACCAGTGTATGTCGCTTAAACAACGTTCAGAACACGACACTGTTTGAAAGGTTTTTGAAAGGTTTTCACTGTTGCACTGTGGTGAGGGAACAGCTGTATGTGTTACTAAGAGTGAAAGTTCCGAAACTGAAGCTGTAGAACTAATAGAACGTGATGACACAGAAGAACTCATCCACAATATCCACATTGACCACCACAAATATCCACCACCCCCTGCCATCATGTCCCGCGTCTCACACACACGAGCGCGACTTTAGCACTAGATTTAGCAACTTTCAGACCCTTTTAGCGTCTTTTTTCCATAGAATATTCATACTGACAAACCTAGCGACTTTTTTTTTGGATAAACCTTAGCCATCGTTCAGTTGTCTCCAGTGCTGCCCCGCGAGCGCGAGGTCTGACTCTCCCGGCGCAGTGCCGCCTCTCTCTGTGTCTCTGCGCGATCGCGAGGTCTGACTTTCCCGGAGAAGTGTCACCTCTCTCGGCGTCTGTTCTGTGCAGTGAGCGGCAGAGAAGCCGCACATTCAGTTGGCTGCACCGCAGCTGACTCCTCAGTAAATGAGTACAAAACAGCGTTTCCAAGGACCCACAACCTTTGGGTTATGAGTCCGACTCTCTAACCATTAGGCCACGACTTCCCTTATAGAGGCCCTTCATAATGCAAAGGTCAACTGCCTGTTCTGCCAATAGTTAGCAACGGCCCTATGGTATGCAGTGTTTAATAAACAGCTGTTTTACTAAATTCTTCTGAGGTGAAATTCAGTGCAGTCCCGTATCATGATACGATTTCGTATCGTATCATTTCGTATATATTTTTGTAAGATACGGTCCATGCAGGAAAAAAAAATACCGTCATGTACCATGAAACCGGTATAATTTTGAAAAATACCGTGATATAAACTTTTGGTCATACCGCCCAGCACTAGCCTACACTACCACTCAAAGGTTTTTGAACAGTAAGATTTTAATGTTTTTTTTTAAGAATTCTCTTCTGCTCACCAAGTCTGCATTTATTTGATCCAAAATACACCAAAAGCAGTACAATTTTGAAATATTTTTACTATTTAAAATAACTGCTTTCTATTTGAATATATTTTAAAATGTAATTTATTCATGTGATCAAAGCTAAATTTTCAGCATCATTACTCCAGTCTTCAATGTCACACGATCCTTCAGAAATCATTCTTATATGCTGATTATCAATATTTAAAACAGTTGAGTACATTTTTTCAGGATTCTTTCATTAATAGAAAGATCCAAAGATCAGCATTTATCTGAAATAAAAAGCTTTTGTTACATTATACACTATACCATTCAAAAGCTCTTTAAATTTATATTATAGAAATTATTACTTTCATTTAGCAAGGGTACTTTAAATTGATCAAAAGTGATGAAGACATTTATAATGTTACAAAAGATTTCTATTTCAGATAAATGCTGTTCTGCTGAACTTTCTATTCATCAAGGAAACCTGTAAAAATTCTACTCCGCTGTTTTCAACATAATAAATGATTTTTGA